TTCTGCTTCCTGTTTGCCATTAGTGTAAATAAACTGGAACTCCACTCAGATTCTGCGTTGATACTGTCTGACAGAATACTGACATCTGCTGGACATTTAAAGACACTACAGGCAGCTGATTGGACTAAACTGAATTGATTTGATGACCTAGAACAATGATATCAGTGAAGTTATTTCAGGTTACATTGTATTTCTTCATATCCATCTTTAAATTAAAAATATTTGATATTTTTTGATCTAATCAATAAATAATGTAAACATATAACGTGAAAATGTAGGGGAAAATGTGAATGAAGATGCTGGTGGACTAGGATTTTAAATCGTAATTTTAAAACAGTAAATAAACTAAGAGTCAATTTAAAATTCAATTTAATTCATATAAGTTGAGTGATAATTGAGAGGAAAAGGATGACAGAACGAGAAAATTAAAATAAAAACACAATCAGTGTATTCTCATTATCAGTTCGTATGAAATCGTACGAAAAGTTATGCACCGTAATTTCGTACGTTTAGACGTTTTTTTCGTGGTATTTTGTCGTATTTTTACGTCTTGCCTTGAGACAAGATATACTTGCGCATGCGCATCTTAAAACAAATTCAACAACGTAGAATTTAACATACAATTGAGCCTAACCCTAAGATGCAAAACAGCCAGCAACCTAGTTAGAGACATGAAGAAGTAATCATTGCACTGTTTTTCCCAGTTTTACGTCCTTCCGCGGATCTGCTTTTTTCGTCTGTCTGGTTGCGCGTGCGCACTGATCTGTTTTTTCGAGGCAAAACGTCAAAAACGGACGAAATACTGTGCATAACTTTTCGTTTGATTTCACACGAACTGATAATGAGAATATGTTGACACAACGGCTGAAACGTTCTTATTCCTTTAAAGACTGCTCCAAAATTCTGGATCATTTTAATAAAAAACAACAAAATATGAGACTTTTTTTAGCAGATGCATCATGTTGACAGATATGTTTTTAACACTTTTAAGTGAGTCAGTCAGTTAGAAACAACTCCCTGACCGGTCACATGACTTTCTGGAAACGACAGTGTTTAGCTCTATGGGCTCCACGCATGCGCCCACGCATTAGGGTTAATGGTCCCTTCACTGATATATACACTACAAAAACTTTTAATCTAAGTTACAAATTTTCCTTAAAATAAGTTAGTTTTTCTTGAATTGAGAGACATTTTGCCAACAACAACCTTTGCATTTAAAATAAGAAACAACTGCATTGTCTTATTTCAACTGCATGTTATATGATTTTAAGGCTAAAAATACTCCTTTTATTGGCAGATAATCCTATTTAACTACTCAACATAAGGGGAAATACACCTATTTTAAGATGTATTTTTACTCATTTTAAAACTATTTTTGCAGTGTACAGCTTAAAAAAAAATCTTCATTTCGATTTTATCCACCAGAACTATTTGCTAATCCTCACAATAACAAACTTAAGAACTATTATTTGAAGTCAGATGGAAGTTTATCAGGAAATAATCCCAGCCTTTGATGGAGCATAGTCTGCACACCACTCATGGGATTATGTCCATAAACTGGACACACCCTGATCGTTCCACCCTGCCATGTTTAGGACCTCAGAGATAAATCTAACCAGAGTTTGGTTCAGGCGGTGTCTGGGCCACCAAAGGACCTTAACACACTGCTCCCTAGGCCAGAGCTTTGCTTCCTGTGCCATGAGCTACAGGCTGTAGCCCAGCTGAAAACCAAACCGTATTAAGCTTGGATCATGTAACTGTGCCGAGCTCGGTTCTTACAACCGTTTACACACCACGCTAGCACGGTTCCTCGGCTCCTAGTGCCGATCTATGGTACTACTGTTCTCTATAAGGAAACGAGCAAACCAACAGGGCGGCGCTCGCAACATTCAGGAAGTTTGCGGAGAATCAGGCAAAGAATACAGCTTTTGGTGAATTTACTGGACAAATGATAGTCTAATCAGGGCTTACAGACGCAGGAAAAAAATAACTGACACTTAGTTTCCATCACACTGCTAAGCAGAATCATCATTTAAAATTATGTGTCACGTTAGAGAAGCTAGGATTTTTATGAATGTCTGAAATTTCCTGATTACAGTTATCTGAGAACTGAGTCAAAACCAGGCCGAGATCTACTGAAGATCTATTAGCATGTTAGCGTTGTTCGGTTGTGTCTGGCGCGGCCTGGGTCACTTTTGCGTGCCGTTTACACTAAACAGATACCATGCTCGGACCGATCTCAGCACGGTTTCAAAAGGGAAGTGGAAATGGGGCTATAGCCTGGGGTCTGGAGTATTTTGGGACAACCATCATCTCCTTCACCAAGCAGTCACCCAAAACATCCCCATAGCATGATACCGACACCACTATGCTCTATAGCAGAGGTCACGGATGCTGGCTAATCCAGAACCAACCTGATTTAAAACCTAAATTACTGCATGTTTTCCGACGACAGTGTCTAAATTCACTTGCTCCGCTTCTCCTGTTAATACGGTAAAGCCCACCGGAGCGTCCGGCACCAGGCTACACGTGATCCAAATGATCCAATGAGCTGCTGTCAGTCTGGGTTGCTGCTGCTGCTACTTTTAGACACAGCAGGCAAACCTGTGGCAAGCCGGGCGATGGGAAAGAAGGAGAAGANTCAGCAGCAGAAAGATTATTGAAAATGGTCACACAAATGACGACCTTAGAAAAATGTATAAGAATAACATAATAGGGAAGAGTTAAAAAATAAACAATACAATTCTGTAAAGTTGTTTTAACGATATAAAACTGTTCACCTGGAGAATAAATAACAGATATCCAGCTATAGACATTTTTACAGTAATGGATATTTGAAAATAGCAGCAACATCAGAGATGTGCAGAATGACAGCAGCAGGCTATTTAACTGACTAAGGTTTCTATCATTACAGTTGCTTTTATTTGTTCCTGCTCCCGGTGAACACATGAGTGTAGTCTTTGTTCACTTTGCAATAAAAAAGAAAAAAATTTAAAATAAACCGTTTTGAAAGTTCGCTATTCATTGTCTTCCTGCTTTGTGTGTCATCTGTTGCGGTTGCTAAGCGACAGAGTGTACGGCGGTAAAATCTGCAGAAGGGTAGACCTGTTTGAAGTCACAGCCGAAACTCTTCCAGTCTCCTCATTTTCAAGGACTTCGAAGGATCCAGTCTAGGTAGACCGCGTCCTTGAAAGATGCAGGCCATGAATCCAGGGTTGACCCCCCACCCCCTATCATTAACAGACAGGGTATGTTGCTCTGACATACTGCCAGAATATTTACCTTGGTTTCAATGAGGTGGATGCTAACTCTGATGTAGCTCTCCGTTCTTAGGGCTAGCTGAGGTGGTTAAATGGGCCTTTAGGTGAGAACTGAAAGAGTTTATCAGAGTTTATATTTACTAACAGAAACACAGAAAGTTCATTCTGCTTTCTGTTTGCCATTAGTGGAAATAACCTGGAACTCCACTCAGATTCTGCTTTGATACTGTCTGACAGAATACTGACATCTGCTGGACATTTAAAGACACTACAGGCAGCTGATTGGACTAAACTGAATTGATTTGATGACCTAGAACAATGATATCATTGAAGTTATTTCAGTTTACATTGTATTTCTTCATATCATATTTTCGTGGTATTTTGTCGTATTTGTACGTCTTGCCTCGAGACAAGATATACTTGCGCATGCACATCTTACAACAAATTAATTAACGTAGAATTTAACAAACAATTGACCCTAACCCTAAGATACAAAACAGCAAGCAACGTAGTTAGAGACATGAAGAAGTAATCATTGCACTGTTTTTCCCAGTTTTACGTCCTTCCGCGGATCTGCTTTTTTCGTCTGTCTGGTTGTGCATGCGCACTGATCTGTTTTTTCGAGGCAAAACGTCAAAAACGTACGAAATACTGTGCATAACTTTTCGTACGATTTCATACGAACTGATAATGAGAATATGTTGACACAATGGCTGAAACATTCCTATTCCTTTAAGACTACTCCAAAATTCTGGATCATTTTAATAAAAAACAACAAAATATGAGACTTTTTTTTAGTAGATGCATCATGTTGACAGATATGTTTTTAAAC